AGAGTTACACAGCCAAATCCTTCTGAGATTGGCAGCCCTTTCTTCTGTCTAGACTCAAGACGTTTGCAGGTGATTTGATGGGAGATGGCATTTGCTCTTGCTCTGTAAACATCTTTGAAAACACAACATCACTGGTGGATGTATTTTCGTATAGGGGGAAAAAAGATCAAGTTATTAGGAGCAGGACTGTAATGTTAGATTTTTTTACATCTTGACCATTGATTTCCCTCCCCCCTTGCCAACTTCTAGATAACATCTTAAAAATTTTAGTTTATTCATGATGTATCTTCATTGTAGATATATAATCATTCCATACAGACATCTTGTGTAAGCAGTGTGTGGTAGTCACAGAAGAAAATACTGAAAATATTGTTCATGTAATTTCTGATATGTACAGACAGGGGCAGCAAAAAGACTCTTAGTGAGGGGACTTCCTTGAAGACCTTTGCTTTGGCCGACAATGTAGTTGAGATGAGACTTGTGAAATACAGGATGGTTTTGTTTCCTCTTCTTCCTCTCCATCTTACTTTTTAGCAGTCACATAAATCCCTGTAATGTACCACTGTGGTTTCCTGTGCTGAAATAAGCTCTGTCTAACATCATCCTGTTCTAAGGATGTATTTTGGGAATATGAAAATGAGGGAGAAATGGATGATCAGCAAGCGCTGGCTCTAAGGGCAACCTCAAACTTGTCATCTACTTCTACTTGTATGGGCTATATCTGAACTGGAAGCCCTCTTGGGAAACCACACGGAATGGGCTGGTGGCTGTGCAGTTGTCCTTCTTGGAAATGCCTGGCTGCCCCACAGCATGCTCGTTCACATCATTTGTCAGTGAAACAAGTCCACAAAATGGTTAGATAAGTGTCCAAAAACCTTCACATTAGAGTATTGCTCTGGGATGATCCTCTGGTTTGTCATTATCCAATTTGGAAAGGTGTCTCTTTTCTTCTTGTTAGCTGTACGCCTAGAAATGATGTCAGTAATTGTTAACTATTAGTCGCTAGACATGAGTATGATTATTTGATTTGCCTTCTGAGGTGCTTATTCAGTGATGGGGTTTGATTTCAATGCAGTAGGCTGCTGTGGTACTAAATAGCTGGGAAGAGATCTATGGCTTGATTAAGTGATTGTAAAGTCTCACCAGATGTATGATTGAAGTAAAATAATGTCTTTGAATGCTCTTTTAATTAAAACATTTGTATTCTTTTGGTAGCCAGAAGTGCAACTTGCAGAAGGCTTTGACGTCTTCATGCCGAAATCTCAGCTGGACTCTATATTATCAAACTACACTCGCTCAGGAAGCCTGCTCTTTAGGAAGCTGGTCTGTGCATTTTTTGATGACAAGACTTTGGCTAATTCTTTACCAAACGGCAAAAGGAAAAGAGGGCTGAATGACAACCGGAAAGGACTAGACCAAAATATTGTGGGTGCAATAAAAGGTATGGTTTTTGCTTTCTTTCATATGTGTAATTAGAACATATGCGCAGCTCAGGAGAGTGTAAGGGGATTAGAATTTCTGACGTGTGTGAGGTCTATTAAAATATGCAGTCTTATTTTTGCATTCACCTGTTAAAAATAGCTTCTACAGGGACAGCCTGTGTTAATTTTAAGCCAATGATCCTGGTTTCTGAAGTCAGGATGTAAGGTTAGAATCTCAGTGTGCATGTAAGATAATGATACTTTTTTTCCGGTTATCAGAGAGGCAAAGAAATCTTGAAAACATAATGACAGCATAACTAATCCTCTTCAGTCAGCATTCTGAGGCTTGCACAGCATCTGACTGTATCTGCTCTGTAAATAGTTTAGTAGTTGGTGGCTGAATTGGGGGGAGGTGGAGGATGATAATACTGGGACTGAGATGAGTTTGATGCTTGTAAGAACTGCAGTGGTCCTTTTCTTGTGAGAGCAAATTTCTTAATCAGTGTGAGGATCCTGTGCTGGGTGGTTTTTCTTAGCGATCACTGATTTCCAGCTGCCAGAAGAACACATGTACCTTCAAACTCGGTGACCACAACATATAAAGAGCTGGTATTAGGTCAGAGATTCTGAACTGGATTCTATTCATTTGAAATCTGATATAGTAGGGGAAATACCCAAGTTACCAAAAGGCAGGTTTTGTTGCAAAGTAGAGCTTATTTTCAAGGCTGTGACTTGTCCTGGGGTACAGACTGCTAACCTAGGAGACACAAGGCAATTTAGAAGAGCTTCTTGAAGTACCTTGGCAGCAAAAGGAGGCGGGGGAACCTTTTACAACCACCTCTGTGTCTACTTTTGGCCTCTTCTCCCCATGTAAGAAAGACATTGACATACTGGAGTGAGTCCAGTGGAGGGTCACCAAGAGTTATGGTACTGAAACAAGCAAGTGGTGAATTATGAAATGACATATGAGGAGAGGCTGAGAGAACTGGAGAGAAGAAGATCCAGGAGAAACCTTATTGCTGTCCACAACTACCTAATGGGATGGTGTAGAGAAGATGGAGTCAGACTCTTCTCAGAGGCACAAGAGGCATTGGACACATGGAAAATTTCAATGTGATATAAAGAAAAGTTTTTTCAACATAAAGGTGGGGCTTCAGAGGGGCTGCTGGATCTCCATCCCTGGAAATATTCTAACTTGACTGGTTGTAGTCCAGAGCATCATGATCTAGTTGGTCACACTTTGAGCAGCAGGCTGGACTTGGAGACATCCACAGGACCCTTTCAACCTGTATGATTCTGCAGTAAAGTATGTGTTGTGGCTGTGTCGTAGTCCTAATACATTTTACAGAGTTTCTGGCAGACTTTCTTACAGTTACACTTAGAACTGGGTTTCAATCACAAACACTTTTTTACACCTTCTTAAATCTGCAAAAATCTGAAGTTGTATTCACTCCATCTGTATCTTGTTCTTCCTTAAAAACTTTAATAAATAAGTTAAATGGAAGAAAAAAGGAGTTCAAAATTACTTTAAAAAAAAAAAACTCTAATTTGAGCAGCACTATGATAAACTAAATGTTTTTCAGTAGATGCAGCAGCACTGTGAAAATAGCAATCGTTACCCACTGCAGAGAGCAATGTTTCTCAATAGCTAAGCTCGTATTGCTGGGCAAATTCTGATGCTTGGTTTAACCTCTTTGCTTGAGTTTGGAAGAAGAAAGAGAGGAGTTGTAGTTCCAACAGATAAATCTCATCTGTGATGGTACTACTAGGTACCACTGTAATAACAGTGATCTTTATTGGCATTTACAGTATTGCCCAAACACTATTGCCTGATCTCTGTTAAGGGAACCCATCCCTAAAAGCCGTGATGGGGTAAGATGCCAGGGGCTGACAGCCCGTGGATCTTTACTCAGCCTGCCTCCAATAGCTCCCTTCTTCCCTCCAGAGAACTGGGCTACCGGACACTGTGGTTTCATTTATTCCAAGAAATAACTGAGCCAGTATGAAATCTCCACAAGAACAACCTTGTGTTGTTTGCTTTATTGTCATTGGGACATTCCTCTACCACGTGCCCAGATATCCTTTAGTGGCACTTTAAGTCCTTTTCCCTGACAGAGATACAAAAGTGGAGAAAAGGCTACATTCATGACAAAATGTTAAAGGAGGGACTATTTGCTTGAAAATCGCTCTTCCTGTCTGAAAACATTTTAACTGCCATCCTTACAAGTAATTCATTGCTTCTGCAACAGGATGATTAGCTGGGGAGAAATTCTCTCTCCTTACTTTGGGTATTCAGTGGCGCTTGTTGAATCACTTGCAGTGTTTCTCCTGGGCAATCAGTTTCTCTTGTGAGTTGCATCAGTCTTTCACTCAGAACTGAGGGGAAAAAAGAGATCAGAAGTGGTTATTTTTCCTTTATGTTATTGACTAGAAATGCAGCCAGTGAAGTCCTTCCCTGCAGAAGTCAATGAACTGTGTTCAGATGAACGTGTGATGTGTCCCTCAGGGGTCTGTACTGGGACCAATATTAAATCTTCATCAGTTAGATAAACAGTGGGATTGAGTGCACCCTGAACAAATTTGTGTTTGACACCAAGCTGAGTGGTGCAGTTGATTCAGTAGAGGAAAGAGATGCCATCCAGAGGGACCTTGACGGGCTTGAGGAATGGGCCCATGTGAACCTCATGCAGTTCAACAAGGCCAAGTGCAAGGTCCTGCACGTGGATCGGGGCAATCTCTGTTATCGATATAGGCTGGGGGATGAGTGGATTAAGAGCAGCCCTGCAGAGAAGGACTTGGGGATACTGGTGAGTGAAAAGCTGGACATGAGCCAGCAGTGTGCACTTGCAGCCCAGAAAGCCAACTGTGTCCTGGGCTGCATCACAAGAAGTATTAACAGCAGGTCGAAGGAGGGGATTCTCCCCCTCTGCTCCACTCT